GTGACATTTGTGGCCTCGAGAGCAGTTTACAAATTTATTTAAAACTGCGGGAGGAGTAGTCGACCAAAAAATGTACGGAAGAATAATAATAATATTAAGTATGGTGAATAGTAGTAGTGTACTTTTCAGGCACACTAATTAATAATGCAGGACCCAGTTGATATTATACTTTTATGATGCAAATTCCCAAAACAAAAAGTAATTAAATGGCCAAAAACCAACTGACACACAATGAACCGAGGGGCAGTTTTGCCATTCAAAAAGTAATTGACTCGCATAAAAAAAGCAAAACACCATTGTCAGGCAGGAAGGTGGTCAAATTGTGCCTCATTAGAAGCTGTGAAACATATATTTATTGTGTTGGTTTGTTGGTATAATTATGTACATCAAGGACAACAATAGAAATAGGTCTTTTAGTTGTGTGTGGTTTTATGTTCTTGTGATTTTATGGTCTTCCCATGACGTCAAATAAACTAAAGCTTAACTGCTTGGACTTGATTTTTTCTTGCAGCTAGAAAACAGAAGAATGCCCTTTTTTGTCTTTTGTCTTTACTAAGTTAATTTCAGCAATGTTTCAGTGCTCTGACTTGTGAATGCAGCGCATTTCTTGGAATGTACAGGAAGGTTAATGTAAACATTAACACAAACAAAATTAACCCTTGTCAACGTTGTGCTCAGACAGTCTTACTGTACAATGAAAATACTGTGTATTGTGGATATATTTGTTAAATTGCAGCACAACAGAAATAATCGGTATGTCCACGCTATGAAATTATATTTAATTATGCAGAAAAGCATAAAGAACTACATACATGAGACCACAAATATACCAAACTTGATCTGCCACAGTCGGCGTATTTACATCCAAAACAGACTCAAAATATGTTAACATCGCCACCTGTAGTCGACGTGTTTACTATACAAAGATCAGAAACGGGCAGGTGTGGTACATGACCGCTTCTACTCATTAATGAAAGGCCGCAGAGTGACATGAGGTGGGGAAAACTGTTTTAAAGCAAAAGAAACACCTCTCATCAGCACTGTTCTACACCCACTAATGATTCGAAGAAAGATCACACAAACAAGAAAAAAGTCCTTTTCATGAGACATTTCAAAGATTCCTGAACTTCTTGTGGTTGAAGCAGACATCTTAGTGTGATAATTCATCATAATTCAAAGGTCTTTATTTGATCTTTTGGAAAATGCCAGAATGCAACACCTTCTTTTTAAAAGGCACCCTCATTTTCAAGTCTATATGCCATTAACTAGCTTTTAGGGAAGAAAAAGAACTATTAAAACTGCACATCAAGTTAATTTTGGCCAGTACATCACGCAGTATTGATGAGGTGGAGGTGATGAGAAGGTTTAATCAGTCTTTTAATCATTTAGAACTTTCTGTAATTGGAGAAGATCATTTAAAATGTAACCTAGGTCTGACTGTTTGAGTTTAACAGAACAGACAGAAGACATTTTGACTTGTCACATAAGGTAAACCACAGCTATAGATAATAAAGGTAATGAAGATGAAAATGACTACAATAATGTAAGACAGATAACAATCGTAGACTGGTGCAGTATATCTTTCAGCCAACAGTGGCATCACTGAGCATAATGTAGTGAAGCAGCGCTCTAGCTGGTGAGTGAGGAAGACAGATTTTTTTATGTGTTGAATTAAGTTCAGTGGGATTTTCCGTACACCTGATGGAAAAAGTTGTTTTTGCTACCTTTCGCTAGTAGTTATACAATTACTGATTAATAGATCGGCATGTAATTAATCCACAGTTGTATTGACTGCTTTTATAGCTAATACGAGTAAAATAAGACAAACCAGTGAACTGAGAAATACAGGACCACATCAATATGACATAAATGAAGTAACAATTTATTTATGTTATATTTATTCAACTAATCCTTGTGGTTAGAGATTCAAAACGAGCAATGAGTCAATTTTGTTCATTTTTCATATTTCCAGTGCAGAAATCAGGCATTAAACAACACTCCACTTTGTTACTCCCCATTTCAGCCCCTGTGTGATTATGTATCAGCAGTTCTAGTTGGCGAGTTCTTTGTTTGGTGGTATTTTTCCCTGCTGGCTGAAATCCACCGGAGGATGTTATAGAAGTGACCACCTATCCTGTGCATAGCTTGGCTTCCTCTCATTTACTGCACATAAAACATTTTTAAATGCGTTTTTCCCATTTTCTCCTCACACAAGTCAAACACAACCTTGTTCCTCTCTAAGGGTGCTATTAGGATGAAGTATTTGTGCTGCTACATCCAGTCATTACTGCTATGACTTTGAAATGTTTTTTTAAAAGTTCTTCAGTTGTTTATGACATTCTGTTCAGAGCTGTTCCTCCACTGAGCCACTGTAAATGAAAAGAGATGGTGAATAATTGCACTCAGGCTGAGCTTTAAAAATCTGCAGACTGCGAGAGTGATGGCTTTCTCTTTTGTTTCAGATCTATTTGAGTCATTACATTATATCTGACACAGTGTCCTTTGATGCAAGGTCAAGGTACTGTACAGTACAGAAGAGCCCGTCTTGCCTCTCCAACTAATGTGGGCTCAGTGAATCAAGCTTTTCACCACAGATGCATCTTGACTAATGGAAACACCTCTGGCACATTATTGTATCTCATATCACCATGGTGGCAGACTGTAAACCATTAAATAACACGGCCACGGTGTTATTTATACTCTGAGTACTAAGAACCAAAGCAGGGGCGGAAGAGAGTGTGTTCAAGGACGTGTCCTTAATGGTCTCAACTCGTGTTCACTCGAGAGTAACT